AAGATGGTAGTTTATGTTGGTTATGTGCTGTAAATGTTTTGCAGGTAAAAGTGACTTTAGGAGATGTCCATTTTTTTGTAAAATTAAATTATTTAAGTTGTATATTTAAGTTGTACATTTACAAATTTTCTTCAAGATATTTATAAGAGCACAATCGGTGCAAAAATCTCTGTTTTAAATTCTCTAAATATCACAAACACAATTAAGAGAATATAAACAGATATTTAATATATTATTTCTGTCTAGCTAGAAGCATAAAACAGTAAGTTTTTTTTTTCAGGAAGCAGAAGTATAAAAACAGATATAAGTAGTAAAATGTTTAAGTTGTTGTAGATGAATAAATCATATTCCTAAATGGTTTATATATTCTTTTAAGTCTTTGTTATTATTAAAATTGTATTGTGTAGCATAGGTTTTTGGTGAAGAGCTCATTTGCAATGGATGTAAATAGAAAATACAAACATGCCTTTGGTAGTTAATCGTCATTTTTGTTTATGTGTAATAGTGAAATTTGCTTTTTACTTGCAGTACCTTTGCACTGATCCTGCTGCTAGAGAGGATATGTATAAAGCTTCTTGTGAAGCTTCGCAGAAGAGTCGGGATCTCCTGGGCCAAAAAGACCTCCAGAAGAAAGCTCTCGACAAAAATAAGTGAATTTTTTGTTGGAAGGGGTCAGCAAATTAAAGAGACAGCGGAAAGACACAAAGGAAGAACTGGAAATTAAGTTTTTTTTTCTTTCAAACGGTGTATGATTTTTTTCTTGATTTTACAAATCAATTATGATAACTGATTTAGTTGTAAAAAAAAAAACAAATACAAAAAAACCCTTTAAATATTGAAAAAATAATGCCAATTACAAATATTTTGGAGATATAAAACAATGATTGTGTAAATCAAAAATTGGTTTCTTTATGGTATAACTTGGGTTGTTTTCACATCTGATAGTCAGATAGACCTGGTTTGATTGGGGACCAGAAATGTAACATCCGTTATATTTTTTAGCTGCTGCAGTTTGTATTCATGTTGCACTTTGTCAAAACAGCCAAACGATTTGAACAACCCGTTTCCTCCCTCATCTGTGGTGGTGCTGTATTTAAGAGCTACTGAAGGAAATGACACCAAATCTCTGAAGAAGACCAGTGCAAGTTCGTTGTTCACCAAATTTAAACAAAAATGGAGCCATGTCAGATTTTAGAGGTCATCTGATTTATCCATTGATATACTTTACTGGTTTAGACATGATCTGTTACCTGCTAACGCTAGCTACGTTCCTGCAGGCTCCATTACTACGTGGCGAGTTTGTCCACAAAAGCAGGCTGTTCCAATGCTCAATGAGCAGGAATCTGTGACAAAAAATAATTGTAGTTAACTTATTTCCTAACCCAATTTCTATAAAATGTGCGTTAAATTAAAATTTGGGGAAATTTCTCATGTTTTCATATGCAAAATATGTTATTTCCTTTGGATATAAATCGAAAGTTACTGCAAGGTAGACTTCTTCAGTGATTGCTTCCTGTTGACTCTCCCCTTCTGTCAAAGAAAAATGAAGGTTTCACAATAAATTGTAAGCTTTTAATTAAAAAAACGAGCAAAGAATTTCTCAAGAGGGACATTTAGGGGAGAAGGTTTAAAAGAAAACAATTGCTCATTACTAGAGATGTTGTAAATAATCACCCAGATTTGGATTAGCATTACTGGCTAAATGTGATTTTATATTGGCTCAGTCCCTGAGAGAAATATACTTTTGTTCTAATGGGCCTTTTGTTTTGATGTTCAATGAAAATGTAACAAATTGCAAACAATTTTCAGTGCGGCACGAAGAGCTTGTTTTGCATTGGCTGGTAAATCCTGGACCTGTAGACTAAAACAAAAACGTCACAATTTGTGTATTAACAAGTTGATGTATTAAAGGAAACAACTTATAATTGGATATAATTATCAAGAACAACCAAAACAGCAATAGCAATGGAAATGATTTCAACTATTATAACACTGAGGATTTGGTTACTGCAGAAAGTGGCTGGTGCTTCGTCCCGTTTCCCCATCGGCCGCGTGGAAATACTTTAGAAAAATACTTACTGAGGCAAAGACCATCTTGTAATTTTTTATCAACTTTTCAGAGAATAAAATCTGACAATCTACTATAAAGGTATTGGTGGGTTTGCCCCGTCGTCGTACCGTGGTAGATTTTCCCACTGACCATGGCTCAAGTGGAAACATCTCATACGTTTGACAGCTGACAAAACTCATCCTGCTCATCCGAGGCCACTGAAGGCCTCTGTGAAACCTCAGATACATCAGCAGGAGATGTATTAAGAGTTATTCTGGGGCATGTTCTACACGTTTTCAGATAATATGTAAATCACAAATTCACTTTGAACATATGTCAATATTTCTCTCCACTCCTTTTGAAAATACTATTTTAAAACACAAACTGAAACACTATGAGACACACATTGATCTGAGCCACAGTCAACCTCCAAAACGTTACGTTCACTAAATCACTCTTCTTTATTTCAAATAAATTTAGAATCACCGTGATTTTACTAAATAAGACAAAGATTCACCACAAAGAAGTATTTAAAGGAGGGTCGTCCTTATTTAAACTCTACATAGCCAACTTCTGGGAAGATTAAACTTCAGAAATGTTTTGCTCGTAATGTTTTAGGTCTATTTAAAAGCTTCCTCTCCTCAGGCGGCGTCTCAGAATCCAGACGTCCCAGAGAAACGAGCCTCAGCGTTGCCTGACATTTTTTCCCAGGCTCGTCTATTCATTTCCTCTCCTTTTGGATTTCAATAAAATCGTTTCGCTCTAGGTTTGAAATGAAAGTCGAAGGGACACGGTGGCAACACATATCTGTGTGTGGAGCGGGGGTATGAATTTTTGAACAAAATGAACCAGAAACTCTACTACAGGTTTCCATACATAGAAAAAAAAATAAATATTTTATATTGTGACAACCGTTTTTATTTTTGTGGGACTCTGTAATCGCTGCTCATCTTGAACCACTTGGTGGTTGATCTGCACCATTTCCAGTTTTCTGAAACTTGCAAATAAGTTTAAGTTTTGCCACAGTGTGGTGTGTGTGTGACGCTCGTTCCGTGTTTTCTGTTAAAGTTTCGATCAACCGCCCGACTGCTTCCCGATCCAGCCATCAGTATAAATTCAATTCTTTGCTCTTTTGTCAAACGCATCTTCTTTGGTATCTGGAATCTAAAAGAAATCTACATTTTTCATTCTCCTATGTATGAAAACTTCTGGCCCACCATGTAGAATACTATTATTACATATAAGAAGTTAAGACACTTTACTGAGTGAAAAAACAAAACAGGATTTGGCCACATGCAGCCCTGGAAAGTCATCTTTTTGTACACCTACCTATAAATTAGTAACATAAAATACAAAACCATCCTCATCTAACTCCTAATTAATTTCCCACCGACATGTCAACACAAAGCAGCAGTGAGTTGAGCCCAGATTTGAGAGCTTTGCATCAGTTTCTCCTCGGAGTTTCCCCCCACTGTGGCTCGGTTTGTGTGACAGTGACAAATGGCAGCAGCGTGTTGGGTCCATCAGCAAAGTGGCAGCTGCTCGGCGTGGCTGATAATAGCCAACAACAACTTTAAAATGACTTGTAATTATGTTGAGCTTTTCATATTTTGGGGTCGTGGGTTTGTCGCGCGGCGAGATGTGTGTGTGTGTGTCACGTTAACGTCATCACGTCTCTGATGAGCAGCGAGGCCCGGAGCACGCTCTGCCCGGGCAGCAGCCGTCAGCGCCGGCTCTAATTCAATTTCGGTCAAATTTGCTCCCGCGATCTGGTCCTTATGTTGGCGCTTTTGTTTTGTCTTCGGAGCTGAAAGCGGCTTTAAGTGCTGTAATTGAACTCGTGTGCGAACTGGGCGAGCGCAACTCATCGTTCAGAATAATGATTTTGTTCTGGGGTTTTTTTTTTTTGTTTTTTTTTCTTCTGATGGTCTCATAGGATGAGGCGGCTGCAGGGAGGAGCGGTGACGTACGGGGATGATTAAAGTTGGAAAACCGTGTGACGGTGAAAACACACCTGGCCAAGTCGAACACGCCCCGAAGCCAGGTTTCTGTTTACTCACACGGCGATTAGAAAGGTAATCTGGACATTCATCTTAATTTTTAACTTTATGGATGATTTTTTTTTTCTTTTTTCAAAATAAAGCAAAACGTTTTTGTTCTGTAGAAGTTAGAAAAAGAGTTTACCAGATTGATTAAAGTGCAGTGTGATGTTATAATACCTTTGCTTAAAAGCAGATTTCATGGTTTTAGAATAAAGGGAAGCTGCTCTCAGTGAAATATGACACAACATAAGTGCACACAAATCCTTATTTTATTTTATATTCCGATTGCTTGTGGCAGTTTCCAAAACTTAACTTTCTTTAAAAGTGTTGGAACAAGCAGCCGAGCTAAAATGTCTACACTTTAATCAACAGCCTTGTGCGGCATTAATAATGTGACTAATTCCTACAAATTCAACTTAAAAACAAACTGTTGGCAGGGAAATGAGTCTGTTAAACCAAATCTTTGAACTCTTCTTTGGCAATATTCTATCAACAGCTGACATCTTTATATACATTTGATCACCTTATCTTGCAAAAGTAAAAGCAGATTAAAGGATATTTCCTAACTAAAGGCTTCTTCCAGTAACACGAGGACTCCGACCTCAATGAGAAACAAACTGCATTATGAAGCCAACATACTTCCATTTAAATATAAGAATAGGTTGACTTTGTCTATCAAGCTTTAACAGTGGTCTCTTTTTGAAGTCCTCATGTTAGTAGATATCCATCCAATTTGGAATTAAAGTGGAAGCTGTTCCTTAAACTGGTTGCAATTCCTTTTGAATTGACAAATGTTTGCGGTTTGTCACATTTGCAGTTTAAAGGACCCACATGCAGAGCAAGACTTTAGTGAAAATGGAGACCTCTAAGAAAAAAACAAACAAAATTAAAATAAATAGTGAACTCACAGAAATAATGCAGGACAAAGACCAAGGACGCAAACAGAGTGACAGACGAATCCAGAAGCAAAGGGTGAAAATCCAGATTGTGAGGTGAGTGATTGCTGACAAGAGGCAGGTGGTTGATTACTAACAGGGTGCAGCTGTGGGAGAAGACAAGCAGGTAGACTGAGGGAAGACAAGCAATTAACACTCAGAGCTGAACAGAAACTCAAGCAAAGAGCAACAACGCCGGTCCAACAGAACAAAATCCAAAAGCACAAAGAGCAGAAAGCAAAAATTATCTACGAAAGTGTACACAGAGGAATGTGTACACTATGGCAAGACTTTCTGACAATTATAAATGCAGGGAGTTGAACAGAGTATGGCAAGACCTGAACTGATCTAATGAAACGTCAAGAAAAATGATCAAAATGCAAATTTTTTTTTTAGAAAAGACCAACTTACATCAGCTAAATGTTGCCTGGCAATAGCAGCTGTGTTTTTGTGTAAACATAAGAGGATAAAGACGTACATGGAAAAACAAAGATGCATGCAGTAATTACTGCTGGTGATTTTAACAAAGTATCTTTATGTGTGGAAGCCTCTGGTCGCCTTTTCAGAGAGCCACGTTTTTAATAGGCTCTGCAAACAAAGTCGTTCTTTCTAAAGCAAACTGCGTTTCAAATATGATTATTTAAGAATAATTTTAGAGCAGCAGAACCCCAACAGGATTATTAAAACCGGAAACATCCCAGTCCTTCCGGTTTACGCCTGGATGCAAAGACTCCGGATGTATATTTTCACAAACCACTTTCACATCATAAAAACTTACAGCTGTAGCTATTATCAATGTTTTTTTGTTTTTTTTCCTAGAGTTTTCCAGTTAGACCATTTCCTCTCTCTCTCTTTCTCTGTCTCAGGCAGCCGTGCGTTTTGCCTGTATTGATCTCATCTGCTCCCCGTGTCCATTAGTGACCCAGGAGGCAGACGCTGTGTCTGTCTGAAGTGTCCTCATGGCTCTGTGGGAGCGTTTAAAAAAAGAAAAAAGAAAGAAACATCGCAAAGGCTTCTTAAAATGTCACAAGTGTTGTGGACTTCCTGAGAGATTAGTCAGAGGGAACCAAAATATGTCTGTTTTCATTGCGTGCAACTTTATTATAAGCAGTTATTTCGACAGCAGAGAGGTGAACTGCCTGAAGGTTGGATTGCATTGCGACTTTCCACCTTGTTGCTTGAGACTTTACTCCATATTTTGGTTTATTTTGTAGCTATGTCAAAATTATAATCTTTGAATCTTAAATGAAAAAGGTTGCGATAAATGGTTCTCACGATTTTTGACAAACGGAGGCTCCGTTCCCCATCTCGTGTCGCTGATGTTTGTGCCATCCAGTTTTAAAGCTTGCAAATTGTTGCGCTTTCTTGTTATTTACACCAAGAAGAGCTGCGATCTGTACGTAGCAGACAGCCGGTAGCCAAGCAGCTCGTCTCCACGGGTCGTGTCTTGCATTCCTTTGACCTAAAATGACTCTTGCGTCAACCGAGTCTTGTTCGTTCGTTTTGAATTCTCTGTCAGTGTGCGAGCAACCAGAGGGAGGGTTCGATGTAGCACTTAAAACACAGCAAATATTCACTGCAGCTACAAGAGGCTCATTAAATTTTGATGCTCTCCTCTCTGTGCAGCTTCTATCCAAAGTAATGGAGGCTAATTACTGCACGCGCATACACAGGATTGCTAATGGAGAGTAACACATTCTGTCTTATTGATTCAGATGGTGCTCAATGCTTTTTGGAAGTGAGAGGGAAAAAAAATAAAAATTGTGCCGAACGCCTGGATGTTGTCCACGCAAAAGACATTTTGCAAGAGCAGAAATACATCGTTTATGTACATCTATACATACAGATATTTCATAAGGTTTTTTTTTTTTTGTCTTTGCAAAATTAATGCCTTTCCAAGCAACTAGCTTAGCTTCCCGACACTAATTAGTGGGATTAGTCAGCTTTGAATGTCACAAATTGATCCTTTCTTTGATTTGGCTTAGAGTAGGAATCATCTACAGATCCTAGAAGCTTAATTTACATTCATTAGACTTGCACTATGAACAAGCAACACCCAGCCTGAGGTGAAAAAAAAAAGCCTTCTTTGGTGTGGAAGTTGTTAGGGGGGAAGAAACCACAGTATGGTTATATATGTGGCTTTATGGCTCTGCAGCAGGGTTGTCACCACACTAATATTTCAGACAGGCAGCAAGAAAAATACTCATTTTCATTTCCAATTCTGTGGTAACAGTTACACTTAAGAGCCACTGACAATGTTTCACTTTCTTATTTAGGACAAAAACAAGAAGTCAGGGAGAATTCAGCCTTCATTAATGAAAATACATACTGTAATGTGAAAATGTCACTTTCCCACATAGGAAAACACTAGAAAAGATAACATTCAGCATAAGGGTTCATATCCTTTATACCTATGATTCATCTCTGCAAGTATTTTATTTTTTTTAGTGTGCCACAATTTGCTGATGATGAAAAGACATTTTACTGCTGAGGAACAAATGAAAATAAACTGCTTCACATCAACCATAAATCAGGAGCACATAAAACATTTATTAGAGTTTAAGCTAGAATTTGGTCTATGAACGTATTGAGCACATCTTCAGTGAAACTACAGCAGCCGGGTCGGTTGTACTGGTTTGTTTAGTTGCTTCGCCGTCAGCTGGTTAGCATTTTTCTGTGCAGTAAAGCTACGTTTATATAGTTGACGTGTTGAACTGGGCGCCGTCCACGACGTCACAGAGCCTTGTTGAATATTTGTGACTTGGAGCAGATCACCTTTCGCTCAAACTGGACGATATTTTTTTAAGGGCTATCGTGGAGTCGGTTTGCCTCTGAGGGTTTACTTTCACAGAATAGAGCACCAATGTGTGCATCAAGTACTTAAACTTTAAAAGCGCGACTATAACTCAGCCCTAAAACACAGCGTTATGCAATTTCCACACCAGGAAAGCACATTTACACTGCGCAAAAACCAACAAATTTCTGCCACTGGGGCTGTTCTTGTCCGTGCAGCTAATATTTAAACAGATAGCGTTAGCTTAGCTTGACCAGGAGTTACTGTCACTGTCGCAAATACAGCTTTCTATAATCTTTTAAAGTTGCTTTAAAACGTGGTGTCATAGAGCTAGCTTGTAGCGCAGTTAGCGTGTAATTTGTTTCTTTCCTGTCCGTGTGTGTTGGGAGTGAAAATGCGTCCAAACAGTGCTGCTGTGTTGACTTCGTTAGCTGAAGAGGAACACACGTTTTCTCCTGGATGTTGGGAGAAATGCACCAAATTTGGGCAAATGTGAACGGGAATGGGTCAATTAATATTTTTTCTTTCTTTCTTTCTTTTTAGCGTCAATTATATCGGGATGTCAAGATTATTTTGAGGACTCCACACTGCAGGTCACAGAGTTTGTGGGACTCTTCTTAAATTTACCAGAGCGGCAGCAGTGGAAGAGCTCCCTTGTACACAGGTTGTCCATTAGCTGGTGACCTTTACTTTAATGGATTTGCTGTGTTCATAACCAGATAAAAAAATGTCAGCTTCACACAACTTTGTACCAGGACTTCTGCTTCTCGCTGAAAATACTGACAAATCTTTACTGTAAGTAAGTTTATGCTTGAGATCAGGTAAACATTTGCCTTTTGCTTCTGCCTTTAGCGCTTTGCCAGCATCTCTGCTCTCCATCAGGAACGTTGGGATCAATCAAAGCACAGGAAGGAATCATTGTTGAACTTCTAAAACACAAAATGTATCAATAAGTTGCATAAAGCACCATAAAATGTGACCATTCTAAGTGTTACAGACTCTTTGCAGTAACTTGATCTTGCTAAAAAAATAAAAAATAAAAATTAATAGTGCGATTTACAAAATTTCAAAACCGGAAACCGCCCACAGTATCACATTTTATGATTCGTTAACCCAGCGAGCTAATTTTAACTTAAACTAAAACGTCCAGAGAATCTTTGAAAATCGAGCGTCGAACAGTTTGTGACGATGAAATAGAAACCATAATCTCTCTTCTGCTGACCAATCCGCATCCGGCTGTTCCTCTCTTCCACCAATCACAAGCTCCCTTTCCCACCAAACCAGCATAAGTTACATGCAGACCTGGTTCGACAGCGGTCGCATCGTGGAGATAATGAGCTAAAAAGACCAACATTTTTCAGCGCTGGCCATAAGCCTCATATGGATTTAAATTTTTAATGGTGCCATGGGGAACTGCGCCGAGTTGCCTGTCATTTTACATAATGTATGGGAAAGCGAAGCCATAGACTTAAATGCTGAAAATTTGACTAAATAAGTGGATGTATACATTTTTAACGAGTAAACAAACCCCTTTAATGCCACTTTTAGTGGTTTTAGTTTTGACTTTAAATGCAAACTCCTCACTCGACACGATTCCAGCTGCTGAGATGAACTTCAGATGTAACTCAGAGTTTTTCAGCCAACGTGACGCGAGAAAACCTTAAACTATTTCTCAAACTGAGAAAAACTCCGAGAATGCTCACGTCGCAGTTTTAATTTTCCTACTGCTCATTCAGTTTTTGTTTTTTTTTTCCCTTCATGTTCATGGTCCCCCTTCGCTGCTTCCTCTTCCTCTCATCTGTCTCCGTCTCCCTTCATGAGCCGCTAAGATGATTCAAGGTGACAAGTTCACATCGTCTTCTCGGGAGCCCTCCTCTCCTGACCCACTTTCACCGTCAGCTATACCGCACAGTTCACACACACACACACACACACACATAAACATAAAATAACCACGCACTCTGACGTGTGTACAGCATCATGTACATGAAGACTCAAGTACTTAGAATTTCAATGAAATCTGCTGACAGCAGGATAAGATGGATGATTTTGCAAAGTCGCCACCTGGAGCCACTAGTGACGGATCTCTTCTTTACGCTAAATAATTTGGTTCCCACTTCCTTAGGAAAACTTCTGCCAAGCTGTTGCTATGTGAAAACGAGGGAAAAGTTGCATATCTAGGTGTGGAGTAAAACCACAGCACTTTCTCGTTGCACGCTTTCTGTTTCAGCAATTGCCTATTTGACAAAAAAAAAAAAAAAAGAACCCGCATGTAAACACATTTTGAACGGCCTTTCTTTGAACATGCGTTAAATGAGCTGCAATTTCAGAAGGAAATAAGAGCTTTATGATGCATAAACATGCCGCGGCGATGCATTTGTTCGCCAGAAATGAAGACCGGAGCAACTAACGCGGCTGATTTTATACCTTGCCAGAGAGCGACACCAAATATAGCAAACATTTTTTATCGCATTTACAATACAGCAATAATCGAGGCCAAAACCCAAGCTGAGAAGTAAATGTCTGCCTCTCTTCAAAACAGGCATTTCCACCCAGGTGGGGGGGAAAAGCCTGCACGCGTAGGGAGCTTGTGCCTAAGGGGAAAGTTGAAGCACAGAAGAAGAAGAAAAAAAAATTGCGATCAAGGTTTACATGTTGGCAGCAGCTGGTACAGAGAGTCTGCAGCACCCGGGCCAAACCAGGACAGGACCCTCCTCACGGTGGGACGTGTAGCGAAACGCAGTGACCTGGAATCAGGAATGTTAGACTAACACTGTTAAATGATTCATTGGCAACAATGTCGATTAAAGCGACACATTCATCTTTATTTCAAGGCTCGGGAGAGACGGGAGAGGAGGAGGGAGGGAACGGGGAGAATGAACTTACACTGGTTTGGTGTGAATCCACAGAGCGTGGAGGGAGAAGTGAATCTGCAGTGTGAGTGGGGTTGAGGTCGGCCTGAACAAAGAACGATGCGCAGAAAATAATCCAGGCTCCGACCTGACTAAGAGGAAACCCAGAGTTTTTTTGTTTTTTTTAAAGTAAGACTGCAGCAGGTTTATGTTTTCTGAAACACAAAGAGTACTTTACAGATTTAAACGTATCAGACGATCTATTGGTCCACATAGAAATACGAATTGATTCCGAGACGTTTTATTGACCCGATGCACTAATATGGAGGTTCCACGTTTTTAAGTGAAGCTTAATCCAGTTCCAGCTTTGACCGACAAATCTACAATGATGAACTTAATCTGATCGAATGTAACCCAGGTTATTAACACAGCACCAACAGGATGCTCATTTCAGTCTTAGCAAAGAGAAAAGTGAAAATATTAAATATTACCGAAAATATGAATCTGGCATAAAGTCCAGCCCATGAACTGTGGATGCTTCCTGAGCAGTGCTGGAGCTCACAGTGGGGAAAAGCCCATCTGTATTAAATCTCCGGAGGGTTAATAAGTTAACTAAAGCTCACGGATAGAAAAAGGTTGGAGTGTCTGTGTCATATACATTTTGTTTCAATTTCTTGACGTGTTCCTTTTCAACAGCAGGATAATTTAGTTTGCTCTGAGTGCAATTTTGATGAGCAGCTTTCCAGGATTTCTGAAAACTTTTCAAAGTGTCGCTTTTACTTTTAATTGGCATCTCCAGCGTAAAACCCGATCTGAATGTCATGTTTTTCTTTTTCTCAAAAATAGGAAGAAAATCCAGCGAAGACCTGAGAGACGCATCAACCTTCAGCTAATCATGTCACTTTGTGCTGCAGGTTTTCAGCTCTATGGAGATAAAACATCATATTCTGTTTCTGAAGATATTTATCATCAAATTGTCTTTTATTTTACTTTGATTTGTCTTTTGCGTCCACAGGGCTTTCACTGCCGCAGCGACAGATCAGAGTTGAGTTTAATAGAACAAAACAAAACAGACAAAATAAATCTCTCCTTCAGTATTTGTGGATTCACTAATCTCTTGACTTTTCCGTAGAGAATATTTAAGATATTCTAAATAATATGTAGCTTTGAAAGCTGGAACAACTAGGTTCAACACGACTTTATTGGCTGCCACTTGGAAAGCAGCCAATCCGGGAGCACCATTTATTTTCTTTGGCTCTGATTGGCTAAGAGCAAAGATAAGGAAAACCGGGGGTGTTAGCTTCTCTGGTAGCGCTAAGATGATTTTCGCTGTGCATATTAATGCATGTTAAGGTATATCTGATGTCTGAACTATTAAAACAGGCGTTTTTAGAGGTCGCCTCAAGTATTTTGGATTGTAGCTCCTCGCGGTCGGTTTTGACTCAGGTTCTGCTGCCATTCACTTTTTCCTTTAACACAGATTTTATGTGCTTCTCTGTTTTATATGTCTCCATCTTTTGAGTTAAGTTCTGCTGCAGGTGTCTTCCTTACCTTTCCACTGTCGCCACATGCTTGGTCAAGAGGAGAGATTGCTGCAAAGTTCATGACCCAATGCAATCATCTCACTTTTCTCTGTCTATAACATCAATTGGGATTATATACTGAATAGAATCGCATCCAGTCTTGTATTGGAAATCTGAATTATTGATTTGTTTAGAATTTTCTGGATAGCAATCGGATCCGTTTCCCTTGTAAAGTACAAAGTATGAAGGAACCGAATTGCTCTGGATGTTCACCAACCAAATATTTGGGATTTAATTTTTTTTTTCTGTAGCTTTATGCTTCAACTTAACAAAAGCACAAACAACAGAAATATGAAACACAAGGAGCATTTCAACAACACCCAGAACCGTGTAGCGAGCCGCCTTTGCAAAGTCTCACAGAATGGAGGCTGCAGCAGCTGCTGCAGCTGCTGCTGCTTCTCCACCACACTGCAGCTCATGTCAGAAGCACTCTTTCAGCGTAGACACACTGTGACTATGAAGTTGAACAGAAAAGAAATAAGTGCTTTTGATGAAGCTCCGGCGTGCAAGTGCTGCTTTGAGTCGTCGTCTGACTGCGCTCCGTGTCGGTGGGTGGAAGCGGTGACAGAGGAATCGCTGGTGTGGGCCGCAGCTGTAAACAAGCCCAGACAGCGTCGGGGAAACCTGGCAGACGGTGGAACCGGTTAGCAACACAAAAAAACTGCATCCAAATGCAAACAAACAAACTGCCTGAGCCGAGCCACATGTGCATCCTCGGTCTTAGTCGCAGTGCGTGTCGGATTATCGCTCGCATTTAAAGAAGCGCCTCGGAGTAGATGGTGAAAAATCCAGCATGGAAGATTCAGAAAAGAGGAGACGGATGAACTGTTTTTTTTTTTCTTTAGTCTGTTTTCTCGATATTAATCTTAAGATAAGAAATGCATTTCCTTTATAGAGTGAGCCTTATAGCTTTCCAGACATCTCAGAATAAGATACAAAATGTCAGCTTCTTTGTGATTTTACCCAAGCAAAACACAGAACTGGCATGAAAAGCATAAAAACTGAGACAAAGCCCTGTTCAATCTGTCATCTGAGAGTGGAATAAGCTTGACGCAACTGTAAACCTACCAATATTACCAATATACACTCTTCACACTGAAGTGATTGACTGGACAAGGAGAGAATTGACCAGAGTAGCAACCAGCCAATTGGCCGCAGTAACTCTGGAGGAGCTACAGAGATTCACAGTTTGAAAATTGTCATTAGTTTTGCACTCAACAAATGTATTTTTCTGTCTCTCTTTCTACCAAAAACTGGATGCTAAAAGTCTTCGGTTTGATGCTTTGGTGTCAAATAGCCCCCCCTTTTTTTTTTGAAGGACAATTTTGTTTACAAAGCCTTCAAAATCCATTCTACTTGTTTTATTTATTTTAGATATATAAAATGTCTCCCAGTTCCAGTGTTAAATGTTCATTAAAACTTAAAGTTTACTGATCCTTTAAAATGTGCTCCTGCATTATTATTTTGCCATTACCATTATGTTACTTAAAACGGTCTCAAAACAACAATATTATCATTTATCACAATAACTTCTAGAACAATTTATCGTCCAGCAAAAGTTGTTATTGTGACAGGCCTAACTTTGTGTTTAAAAAAAAAAGTTCATCATAAAAAGGGACAGCGATCTAAGTTGGGAAGATGTCTGCTGCTAAATACAGAATAGTTCTGAAGAAAAGCTGCTGTATAAAATAAACTTCCTCTGCTAGTCAAGGTTAATCTGACGGATCGTGTGGGAAAGAGACTTTTATGAAATGTCGCAGTAAAAATCTAAAGAAATGTGAATTTAGAAGATTACATTTCACTTTTAACTGTTGGAAAGATGCAAGATCAATATAAATATCTGATAAAGCACAAGCTCTTAGGCTAAAGGCAGTGATTATTACATACAATTTGCTTTATTACAAAACATCCCATTAAAAACATTGGAGTTTATGGCTGTATACTGCCACAAAACATGAAAAAGTTTAAATACTTTGTACGCAATATTTACTAAGTGCTACGGTTACAACAAGAGCCAATTATCTGGTAGGAACCTTCTACCGAATCCTGGCTGAAATGCTTAGTTTCTGCCTCGTCTCTTTAAACCAAATAGTCAACAGCATAAATGCAGGCATGAACTCTAATCGGTCCAAAAGGACGGCATGTCAGCGATCGCAGCATCAACAACCAGCAGCAGCGCCGCAAACACACAATTATCTGATGTTACATCTTCCCTTGTTGTGACGTGAACGCAGCAATACCAGGAACATTTCTGCCCAGAGTTCATCTAATCAAGAAAATTTCTCTATTTGACGCGCTAAACCGGAGGGAGCGCGTTCTGCGCCGGACCGCGCGATTAGAGTTGTTCTCTGATTGCACTCGCACGCGGGGCCCGCTGAGAACACCCTGAACTTCAGCGCAGGTCCCAGCTAATTACAGGAGATTTGATTTGAAGCTCTCGAGCTGCAGACTGAACAAACAGGCAGATCTGCTTTACTCGTATCTGCTGAAAACAGACTCATTTATCTGAAAGAGGGGGCACTCAGCCGAGCAGCCGTAGGAAAACATAATAAAAATGTTTTTAAAAAAACGGGTGCGTTAGCTGGGTTGGTGTTCGAGAACAACAAGGTGGCGAGTTGTTTGGCGCCGTCACCTCACAGCAAGAAGGTCTTATGTCGTGGTTGTGTGGAGTTTGGAGGCTTTTTGTGTGCATGTGTTTGGGAAATTAGAGAATCTGAGTTGGGTCATTCTCACTTCAACGGCTGGTGTGGAAATTAAAGCTGCTTTAATATGGACAGATATTTTGTCTCCATACTTTTATATCTGGAATTTGATTCATAATTGAACAAAAACAACAAATACCAAGTGGAAGAAGCGCAGCTGCCGGTGCCTGCAGGAAACCCCCAGATCGCCTTCTGTGATTGCAGTGCTGTGTTTGAACTTCCCCTCACTTTGACACGTCACTACTGCATTTTATCGGAAGCGACTTTCTTGAGTCAGTGCTTCGTAAAGCAACCTTTCCTAGCAATCACAGCTGCAAGTGTTATGCAGTATGTTTGTATGCTTATGTAACTTAGCATAATAATTGGTCTAAAGGAAACGAGGCAGAAGGGAAATGTGAGTTTAAATGTAGTTTAGGCAACATGTTTCTGAAGAGGTGCATAACTCCAAAACAATGAAGTGGAGACGCAACCCAAAACAAGAAGATGTCAAAAATAGTTTGCTGGAAAGGTTGACTGTCCCCTTGGGTGCAACGTGCACACACACACACACACACACACACACACATCCACCCCACTCACAGTCACCTCGCGTTTCGGCTGCGTCTGTGAGAGATATTTGTCAGATTTGCTGGGTTCACACCTCCGATCAACGCGACAACTCTCTGTGATGAAAGCGACTCTGACTCCTGACACCCACCTCCTCTCTCCTCCTCCATCCTCACTCCATCCCACACTTTTAAATCCTTCTCTCCCTTTTTCTCCTTTACCGTTGCCGTCGTCCCCGCTGACCTTCCTCATCTTTCTCACCCCCGCCCTTCGCCCCTCTCTCGATTTCTTGTCTCGCCAAAAGTCTCTCTCAATCATCCTTCGCATTTTTTCTTTTCAGATTCGACACCCGATGCGTCCAGCATATTCCATTTTTTGCTCTGTTTACCTGTATTTTCCAACTCGCATCTTTACTTATTCCGCTTCTGAATATATTCGTCTCTTCCTCACGTCTTCCCTCGCCTCCTCTCCTCCTCCTCCGACACAAAGTTCTAATTGTCACCATTAGCAGAGAGGTTACATAATGGATGAACTAACCTCTTCTTCCTCCTCCACACCTAATCAAACGCCGAGCTTAAGCTCCAGAACAAGCTGCGTTGTTAGTTTAGGAAGCTGCACGCTGCTGTGCTTACATATTACATGAAAGCACCTCCTCCCAAAATGTTTGAATATGGAAACAACTGCTTTGTGTTGTCTTTGGAGTAATGAGCTCCCTGTGTGCCGCCGCCACATCTGGGCCATTAATAAGGAATTGGAGGGAGAGGAGGGGTAGAGAAAAAAAAAAAAAGAGAGGACACATGAAACAAAAAGCAATCGCTGACAGCGACGCTATGCTTTGAAGCATCTCCCACTGGGTGTGTGTGTGTGTGTGTGTGTGTGTGTTTATCTCCTGGTGAGCGTTTTTCTCAGTAAGCTAAGCTAGAGTAAATAAATAAAAAAACAACAACAAAGTACACACACGTCGAACAATGCAGAATAAACAGTTTCTTAATGTCAGCTGCTAAATTCAAAGAGACAACTTGCTCCGTGCGAGTACAAACTTCCCAAAAACGTCTCGTACACACACAGAGACACACACACACACATTTCAGCTCCACTTGAGATGGTGTCTTTGCAAACCAAACATTTACACACCCATTGCTAGTTAGCGTGTTCACTAAATTACATCAAAACAAGCAACTTGAAAAACCGTCATTATTTCAATATTCATGTGTGCGTAAGTGGATCTAAAAAAAAAATGCTATTATATTTTAAATGATATGCATTCGCACTCTGCATGTAGATTAAATATCTGGTCGTTTGGGCTGATGCTGGTGTGATGGAGAAGCTTCAGCTCATAAAACCCGATGATGGGAAACTAAGTGAAATGTGAGAATCGTGAGTTACATCGACGTTGGGATTTAAAAAACAATATGAGGACTGCATGTTCTCCAAACGAGTCGGCACTTTACAGAAGACGAACCGTTCCACAGTCTCTTTTACAATGTGTAAAGAGTTACTCTCCATTTAGCGCCGTCCATCTTTGCACCAACCCTTTACATCAGTTGTAACCCATATAGTATTTAAGTTAGGAGAGCGGTAAGAACCAGGACAAAACATGCTGTGTGAGAATTAATCAGAGTTTCTAAAGACAAGCTTGTGCCTCCCAAAGGCAACACAGCAATCATTTTACAACTGTAACCTTAGACATGGTCCAAGATTTCACTCTCCAGTGCATTTTGCCCACTGAGAACTGCCATCTAATTTCTAATTTTTTTCCCTATTTCCACCTGCCAGTATTAGACTAAAGCAAGGAACAAAAAGGAAGCAGGCATAGCTTTGTTTGTCCAGGAGGGCGACTGACTGCTCGGTTCAATATCTGACTCAATCTCTGTAAAGTATCTTGGAAGGCCATCAATAGTTTAGTGTTGTCAATAGTTTCAGCCCGGCCTAATTATTCTTTACGTGCTCACATGAAGGTAGTGAACAAAGACAAGAAAAAGGCACATTTTGTTGATTCTGATTGATTTGTAAAAGCACTGAAACAGGGAAAACACCCAAGGGGGTGAATATCTTCTAGAGACACTGTATGTAATGCCACATGTTTGTTTTTTTCTCCAAGGCTTTTTATATATCAGCACAGCTGGAAAGTAACTTTCGGCATGAAAGAGTCATTTCATCACTTTTTTAAAGTAAAACAGATTTACTTGAGTTTACGTTTAGGGTTAAAGGTTTTTCATTTAAACACAACAAACGTTTGCTTGGGTCCAGAAATACGTTCTTCTAATTACTAAAGTGGCAAACAAAGTAAAAGAAAACGGAAATGGCAATTGTTTTGGGAGAAACCTGAACCTCGCAGTGTGTTAGCCCACGCTCAGGGTTGTTTCATTCTCATAGATCTTTAAAAAACTTTGACTGAAATCCCAATCTGTGGGCTTTCAGTCAAAACTCATCTCTTTAAAAGCTATTTAAAGTATAAGTGGGGTCTGAATGCTGTCAGAAATGTAATATTTTGAACTAGATTGTTTTTGTCAAAAGGATTCTCTCACCATTGGCCTAAATTACAGACACATTAGTTGCCACAGAGCTTTTAAATTCTTAGAAAGGGTGCTGGTTCGCCAAGTATCAAAGCTACACCTACTGTGAGACATTTCCTCTCATTTTCTTCTTACTTAAATCTTACCTCTATCCTGGTATTGCACTGAACTTAGCATTAGCTGCAATACAACCAATAACAGGTCAAGCCTATAGCTTCCTGTTTCGTTTTCTGGTTCAATTGTAAAGCCTACAGTTCACGCTGAGAACGGCCTTAAGATAAATATATTAACAATTAACTATGACAATACTATACCACTACCATGGCAACCATTAACACTAGTCATCATTTAATTTCAAGTACATAAAAGTAGACTTTTGTTGAAAGAAAAGGAGTAAAACAAAACTCATGTCTAATAGGAACGTATAGATATGTACACACAAAACATGTCGAGCATTTTCTCATAAAAACCCAAGAGCTTGAAATCAGAATCGTTTCCCCGACTCCTCTCGGCATGGACTCTGAACACAATAGATGGATATTTGTGATGTTGTCTGGTTTAGGACTTGTGATCATTCTGTTTTGCTCTCTCCCTCTGTGCATGTCTCCGCGCAGCTATGTGCTCTGTTTAAAAAGTAACTCTGCTGCATTATTTATCAGCGTCACGGGGGAGTCCACGTCTCTGCTCTTACTCCTCATGTCTTCTGATTTTCTCTGCTAATTCCTGCTCGTTAAGTCAGGTGACACGCAAATGCAAATGTTCTGATTAACATGTTCGCCGAGAAATAGTGAAGGAAGCAGAGTAAGTCGGGTTGTTGTTGTTTTTTCTTTTTTTTAAATTCGTCTTCTGTTGAACTCGCCGCACATCCCGGACTATTTATCTGCTCCGAGTTAATGTCACGCTCGCTTATCTTTGTTCCACCGCGAATCGTGTTGCTGTTGTAAAATTACATCTAATCACGTTTAATCAAAATGTCTGTCTGATTTCAGCCTCCGTTCTCATTTTTGCACAATGTGAGCTGATACGTGATGGCTCCGCGCTAATTGGGACGATGTTTTTTGCATATCAAGAAAGACTATCTCAGATGCTATCGCAGGGCTGTGATTGTCCCTAGCCACGTCGCTTTCTCGTGGAGAGCTGATCAACTCGTTTTCACAAAATGCGAGAAGGAAAAGACGCCAAACGGGTTTTTTTTTTTTTTGCTCTGGCGTTTTAAATTCGTATCAGGTTAAATTCACAACTGGGCGTAAGGCCGGCGTACGAGAGGCAACCGCCGACCCCAACACCGTTTCTCTTAAACGTCTTCAGACGATCAGATTGCAGTAACAGAGAAAGATAGCCTGGTTAAATACAAACTGAAATTTTCAAATAATAACGTGATTTATTACGGGAACACAGCTCTCCAAATCAAACTGGCCCTATGTGAAAAAGTAATTGCTCCGTTCATCTAATCGCTGGTTGTGCCGCCCTGGTCGGCATTGACTGCCTTCCGGCGCTTGCGGTAACTAGCAATCAGACTTTTACGTCGCCACGGGGAGCTCTGGCCCACTTTTCTCTGCATCAGGGTTTTAATTCAGCCTCTCTGGTTAGTTATCTGGACTTTGACTAGGCCATTAAAAAAGTGTTTTATTGCCCTTTGAACGTGCTGGCGTGCTTTGGATAATTGCCCTGTTTCATAAAACCAAGTGAGACGGGTCACAAAGTGCTAGAGCCAACGCTGGCCTTCGGGGTGTTCTGGGTCAGAGGAGAACTCGCCCGGTCCATCAGTTAAGACGAGTCATGCAGCAGGACAGCAGCGTTTTCTCTGAAGAGACGTACCTTCCGAAAAGTTCCAGCTTCCTCTCGTCAGCCCACATAATATTCTTTCGTGAGTCTCGGAGATATTAAAGGATTTTTTGGGAGGAAAAGGTTGAAATTACCTTTGTGGGGAGAAGTTTGGTTTGTTTCTAATCCAGTGGTTTTTACTGTCTTTGCCCATTTTTGGAATCATGATGACTGAGTTAAGCTGAGGGAAGCAGTGTTTTGTTTTATGTTTTTAGATTACTTCATGTATAATTTTGTTCAGAATAACACATAAAACAGACAAGAAACAAGTCAACAATACTTAAGACAAAGGCTGTTGATAAACCATATCCCTTCCCACAAAAAATATATGTAAAAATAAATAAATAAAAATTTCTGGATCTAGCAGAACATATTGTTTTAGACCAAGGATGTCAAACTCATCTTTGTTTTGGGTCAAATCAGGATCATGAATGCTCTTAAAGGGCCGGTTGTGCCAGAATGTATTGATAAAAATCTGATCACAAACTATTAAAATATCAGTGAATTCTTCAAATTAAACATTACTGAACATCTTTTCAGTCCCTCCAGGATTTTGTGATTCTTTTTGTGATTTGCACTTATTTATATAGGTAAATTTGACATTTTATTATTCGCTGTACAGATCATGGACTATAATCTGACATCAATTAAAGCTGAGGCAGTTGTTTAGTACAAGTAAGAAAGTTTCTGACAATTTTTAAGAAAAATCTGCAATAAACTCCAAAATATTAGTGCAAAAAAAATGGGCAGGGATTTGTTAATTTCCATGGAGGGACCGACTTACATCATTTATACAATGTTATTTATATAATTTGGCAGTAGACAGATGCAAACTGCACTGATTTGATTGATAACATAATATTTAAGCACACTTAGTGTGTAGTGAATCTAAAGGGCCACATAAAAAGCTACGGCGGGCCGCATTTGGCCCACGGGCCTTGAGTTTGATCCATGTGTTTAGAGTCTTGATAAAGGTGGAGCAGATATCCCAGAACGGCACAGCCTCCGTTGGGAAGTGGTGCTTAACGTGTGCCAGCTTCTTTTTGTGACCTCTAGATGAGTCTTCAACACGCTTTCATTAGGCTGGACTCACGTAGGAAAGTTCATCGCTGCTCCACGTTATTTATCATTGTGGCAACACGTCTCATCTTGATTTGCTGGAGTCACAACGTTTTAAAAAATAGATTTGTGACTGTTTTTCTTTATTGTTCGCAAAAGGCTGCAAATAGTATTTTCCAGCACTGCAGGTGTGAGGCAGATGTAGAAGAGCCAATTACCTACAAAGCACTGATTGCATAAAATATGCAAACATATATATATATATATATATATATATATATATATATATATATATATCAGAGAGAAGCTTGGTTCCCTCGTTCGTCCCTGACGTTAACGTGCGCCTCAGGTGATGCAATCTAAAGGTGGCAGCCTTATTCCAAGGTGTTAATGGAACAGATTGAGTAAGCCTCCAGTTTGAATCGCTCCACCCAGGTTTCAGAGAGAGATCAGCATCAGGCGCTTTGCAGAGAAATGTTTCACAGACCACAATTAATGTTTGTCTTCTCAGTGTCTGTGTAGGACGTAGTCATGGCTGGTTTAGTCTGCAGTTTTTAATTTTCACTGTTGAAACTCGCATCAGATTGTGATTTTATAATATTTAGTTTCCAGGCAGTTTGGATTAATTTGGAATTGATTTTTACAGAAAATATTTTTTGTTTTACTTATACCATGTATAACATGAGGTTTATGACTGGTCTGTCCGAACGTATTATCTTTCCACAGATATCTTCATAGCATCAATTAACTTTACAAACCGTCCGCAAGTCGATCCCAGCAGCAGGTAAGGGATCTTCAGTGTTAATATTTTCACAGGACCTCACTTTTGAAGTTATAAACTATCCCTTTAAGATGTCCAATAAATAATAAAATACACTTTTCAACAAGTAATATTGTTTAAGTGTTGGGAACAGTTGGAAACAAGTTATTAAGACTTGAACTGAGCTTCTTTTTTATTTTATTTTTTTGCTGGAGAGGCAACTGGCCAAATTTAAACACTTTTTGTCGAAAAATAACTTCAAAACAGTATTCCAACAAAATAAAGGTAATTCTTCGTATCTTGACGTTAGTAAATCATCCCTATCGTGCCGACAGTCGATGCAAAATGCTGCCAACATACAGAGGAAAGAGAATGTTAGTCCCATTTTGTCCCAATTGCTCTGGTTGCTTTTTCATTTAGAGTTAATTTTAAAACTCTTGTTTGTTTTTCCTATTTTCCTGTTATTACTTTCACTTATATTTTATTCATTTTAAATTATATTGTCGTTTTTTTTTTTCCCCCAGTCATTCTTTTTGCTAAGGACTTTGCTTTGCGTCTACTGTTTTTAACGTGCTTTATAATTAAAGTTGGTTTGGCTAGTTTCTTACATGTGGAGACTCAGAAGTGCCACACCCTAATTAGATCGATGACATGCATGTCTCAACAATAATGGGATGGGAGGGGGGAGATTAAAAATAAAAAATGACTTCAAATGAGCAACGAGCAATTACTTAAATAGTAAATTAATCATCTCATTTTCCCAAGTGACTCACAGGATGATCATATTTTTGTTTCAACCTCATCCGTAGAAGTGTGGCGCTCCATGGGTTAACGGAGGAGATGCTAAGACTTTTATTGTGACAAGTGTTGATTGTGTGCAGAAAAAAAATGAAACAAATAAACACTTAACTACAGTGGATCCCTGGTATTGGAGGTGATTAGAAACCACAACTGCCCGCAAAAAATAAAATAAAAAATCCTTATAATTGCCTGTTTTAATTATTGAGACATCAAATATACCTCAACATGCATTAATCCGCTGTTGGCCAATCAGAGCCCAGGAGAATAAATGGCACGTCTATATTGGCTGCTTTGCAACCACCAGTCTATAGAGCGTCCAGTAGGATTTATTGAGGATTTGAAAGGTGGCTATACTCTTAAATATCTAAGTAAAAGAAATAACGCACAGAGACGTAGTTCTTGCTGCTGGGCCATAGACGAGCCGGAGATTTATTACACTACCACGGATACCTCGTTACAGTTTCTTCAGTTCAGTACAAAATCTTCATCGTCATTTCTTGTCACAAAAAATCTCCCCGAAGTCTTAACATCAACCTGTTTTATACCTTCTCATCTTCATCAGTGTGTGTTGGAAAGTTTCAACCAATGGTGTGCAACTGTTGTTTTGCAGAAAGATTCTGTGCCGAAGACTTTTAGCTTCTCCAGCTTCAATTTCTTTTAAATATTTTTAGATATGTTCTACGAGGAAATCTAAGAACAGGTGAATTTTCTGCCAAAAACTTGAAAGTTAAATTCCACAAAAAAAATCTGCAAATTCCACAAAAAAAATCTGCAAATACTAAACCGGGAATAGATGGAGTTCACTGTAATTGTGTATTCTGTCAAGATTTGATTAGTTAAAGCTGGACAGTTATTAATGTAAACACATATTTCTGAAGTAATTTGTACTCTAAAGGAATTTTTCTTCTTTCTTCAATGTATTGTGGGTCTTTTTTGGACCTCCTTTAACTCTAGGCTGTGTGTGTGTGTGTGTGTGTGTGTGTGTGCGTGTGCGTGTGTGTGTCTGATTGTTGACAAGCCAACAAATCAATTTTAGTTTTACTGGACACGTTGGTTACCATGTTACAATCCATTCAGGCACCAGAATGTGCTGATGTCTTTCTGCCAGGTTCTCACTTTCCCTCCCCCCGGTGACGGTGAGTTATGATCACACCCTGATGAATACAACTATATAAAAACACCCTCGTTCACACAAATGCACCTCAGCCTTGGTCAAAGTGCCCCAGATGGCTGTAAATCGTCTTTTATGAGAAAGACTTGATGAAAGCTTTTCCCTGGACACTTTTTTTCCCCCTTCCTCCTTTGGCCTTTGGGCAGGTTGGTTTATTTCTCCACACACCACCACCTTTATGTGCCATTTCTATCATTTTGCTCTGACATGAACAAGATACAAGCAGCAGGGGAAAATAACCAAATGTTAGTAGTTTTTTTTTTTTTGTTTTGAGGGGGGAGCTTTTTTCTACTAAAATGAACAGCAAACTTACAGTTTTGCACACGAAGCATTTTTGGTGCTGTAAGTAGAATCGATGTTATAAAGTTATCATAAATGGTTATGAGCCGAGGGAAAAGATCCTGAAAAATGTTTCATAATGTCAAAACACTAATAAGACGCGAGGTTGAGGAAAACGTGTTGAATCAGCTCTTTAAATAAAAAAATTAAAAAATGGCGTATGAATTTAGCTGAATCTTTAAACATCTATTCATCTGTTCACACCCAAATTTGGCCTTTCACTTTCAAAGAGTAAAATGTACTCTAAAAATAGATTTTGAACCAGTAGCACTGTCCTGAAAAACAAAAAACCCACTTCATTAATCATTTATTATCCCCGTTTAAGATAACAAATGATAACTAAGCCAAACTAATCCGTTCTAGTTTTTACAAACCAAAGTTGTTGTTTTTTTTTTAGTTTTGTTATTGTCACTTGATGTAAAAGTTGCCATGCACTTGCCAGGTGACATCAAATTACCTAAACGGCAAATGTCACGACCTTAACAACTCTACATTTTCAATTTTGTAGCTCAAGATAGCTATATTTATTTCCTACGTCTTTGAAAATGAGAAATGTGTCAAAAATGACATTTATGCCACAAATATAGAGTCTGATGGATAGAAAAGACTAATATTAGTGAATAGAAATAGAACAGAAATATCCTTTGTTGTCCAGAAAGTTAAGTGGGAACATAAGGATAGCAGACTGTGCACTAAGACCAATCTTACAACATAAGAAAATTAATATTGTACAGTTATAAAAAATTTCTGTACTCAGATTCAAAGAAATGTGCAGCCGAGTGGGATAACTTAAAGAAACAAAACTGTACAATGTGCATAAAAAACAGACTATTTGTAAAAACTGGGGGAAAGAAACACCTTCAAACATCAAGGATGTGCAAAAAACACCAGGAATGTTACTTGAAATGAGAAAAGTGAAAATAACAGCAGAGTTGTAAAATGTTATTGAGTTTGCCTGTTGGAAGCAGTGATGGTTTTAAAGTCTTTGAGCTGCTGGGAGGGAGGATCTGTGGTGCTGCACTTGAGCAGCCCAATACAGAGCATGGGCTGGAAGACGCCGTCCAGCACCGATGATATTTTATATACTAGACTGGAAATAAATGCATAATTTCTGCTTTGCAAAATCCCTGAGCTTTTATTTGCCCTGGGTTTTGATAACTTTGCTGCACTGTTCCAGTATTAGCAGTCTCTATATGTACAACTAAATACACAAATACATTTATCATATACATTGCAGTTAATAAATAAAACTCTGGATTTGCCTATAGTTTTCTCTTAATACTTTTTTCTGACAAAAAAAATAAATAAATTCTGCCTCTACAACAGGGAATGTCTGCGATCTTCCTCCAGTG